AGGACTGGTGGTACCCCCCTTATCCACAGCCCTGTAGGTAACCATCCTCAAGTTTATCCTTCTATATCTCCCACAAGAACACATAGTATTTGTGCAGAAATCTATTTCTATGCAGTATATTGTTTGAAAAAAAAAGAAGTATTTTCTATAGAAAACTTGTACATTGCAGCGCCTCTGTCTTCATTCCAGGAATTTCTGCCCATATTGTCACTGTGTATTGATGGCATTCTGACTTTAAATTGATTTCAGCCAGCAAATACCAACAGCACCTGACAGGCTTAGTGAATTGCTTTCAGTGTTCCAAACCTAAATTCAATGCAGTAAAGATACAGTACTTTTACCACCAATTCCCACAATTCTGCGCTGAGGCTCATCTAATACATGGAAGAAAGTTCATTTAAATTCACTGAATGCTATTGTACTGTACGCAGTGTGCCGGGGGTTAGAGCGGACTTATTGGCAGAAAAGTTTTTTTCAATTGTATGCTAAGTAATGAGTTATTGTGACACTTAAAAGTAATGACAACCTCTACCGGGGGCATTTCCTGAGTGCATTGGCCTGTGTGCAAGATCATACGTTGGGCCTCCTTCCTGCTTGAGAAAGGAGCGCGCTTGCTCACTTCACTGGCTGTTGCCACCTTCAAACGGCTGTAGTTTAAAAATTATAAATCCACAGCGAAGAGCTTTATATTGTGAGAATCACAAGACCCAGACTTACATTTTGATGCATGAGTATGTCTCTGAATATTAAAAATGAAGGCACAGTCACAGTTTAGAAATTAAATCTGACTGGCTAGAGTGCAGTTTCAATAAATGTCAATGGGCGGCGTGAGTTGCAAACAAATGGTCATATTGTGAGAACTATCAGGACTATGGCTTCGCCGTGGACATTTTAGTGGCAGCAGGGATAGCTGAACGTTTTGATATAAAATTAGAAGCCAGCTCATGCTTCAAAACGCATTGCATTGTATCTTGGTCACTGACGACATCACGCCTACGCCGACGTTGCGGTTCAGCGTGCGTTCCAGCCGCCATCTTTTAGGAATACGTGGATGCCGGCCGGCTCCACATCTGTCTCCCTCCTGGACCACGCTCCTTACCACTGAGACGGGACGATACAGGCACCAGTGACAGCCATTCCACTTGGTGTTTCTACACCACAATACCCTACATGCAGGGGCGGACTGACCATTTGGAAACTCGGGCACTGCCCCAGGGCCCGGGGTCAGTAGGGGGCCCCATGAGATACTCAAAAAAGGGGGGTTTGTGAAAAGAGATTCACAGAAAAGCGGCTACATTATGAATAGACCGTGACACTCAGAAAATTTTCCAAAAATTATGCTTTATTACACAGATATAAATATGACATATGGGCATTCGCCCTGGTTTCACCGTCACCTCAGTATGAGACAATAACACACAGACCTAAAACCATTAAAATGACGTCAAGACCGGTCTAAATGTATGTGCAACAGAAAAAGTGACTGCAAGAGTCTAATATCTCTGTAGTACAAACACACAGGTAAACACTTCCCTGAAGAGGTGTATCCAAAAATTATACCATAGGTATACCATAATATTAAATAATGAATTTACACCAATATCATAATGGTGAATCCCGAACAGGGAATCCAAAAATTATACATGGATATACGTATATCACATGTATGAAATGCAGTAAGCACAATAAGCGTAAAAGAGGGGAACAGTAAGCCTCAGGCCTGTTTGGAAAAAGACATAAATGTCAAATATATAATGCAATACATTCCTGTGCCGGCACACGTGGTTGGGGCCCGTTCATCTGTTATGTGAACAGCTGTATCATAAAGCTCTTGAATGGAAATAAGCCCCATTTATTCCCAGGATGGGAGAAAAGGTGCAGATTGCAGCACTCTGCTTGAAATGGTGTCTTCACCACTGTATGTGGACTACACACCACCCTTTGTAGGAAAAGCAAAACATATCCCAAGGAATCTTCTGCCTGTTGAGCTATATGCGGTATGTCCTGTATCCTACACAAAGCACCATAATGTCCCCATCCTGTAGTGAAACAAATAATGTGGGAAGTCACTGACAGAGCTTGCACTTAATAAGATATGTAGGTCATATTGATCACAGAGGACCGTATATCTAATGTCCTGTAACAATCCACTCACCACCTGTGCCGTGGATAAAGGGAATGAAAGAGATGTCCTTCATGGATATTGCCAAACACGGCCACAGAGGCCCAGGAACCACCGCTGACATCCGCCGATATACCGCGGGTTTCAGCCCCCTCTCAGCGCCTGTACTGCTCACGCTTGCCTCATGGCATGTGAAGATGGCTTCCTCCTTATGGGTCAGCGTGCGTTCCACCTAGTGCGCATGACCGGAAGTGACGTATCTGACGTATGACGTCAACGCGTTTTCGCCGATGGGCGTATCTCACTCAGCTTCGTCAGGACCAATTGGTCCTGACGAAGCTGACCCATAAGGAGGAAGCCATCTTCACATGCCATGAGGCAAGCGTGAGCAGTACAGGCGCTGAGAGGGGGCTGAAACCCGCGGTATATCGGCAGGAATGTATTGCATTATATATTTGACATTTATGTCTTTTTCCAAACAGGCCTGAGGCTTACTGTTCCCCTCTTTTACGCTTATTGTGCTTACTGCATTTCATACATGTGATATACGTATATCCATAGTATAATTTTTGGATTCCCTGTTCGGGATTCACCATTATGATATTGGTGTAAATTCATTATTTAATATTATGGTATACCTATGGTATAATTTTTGGATACACCTCTTCAGGGAAGTGTTTACCTGTGTGTTTGTACTACAGAGATATTAGACTCTTGCAGTCACTTTTTCTGTTGCACATACATTTAGACCGGTCTTGACGTCATTTTATATGGTTTTAGGTCTGTGTGTTATTGTCTCATACTGAGGTGACGGTAAACCAGGGCGAATGCCCATATGTCATATTTATATCTGTGTAATAAAGCATAATTTTTGGAAAATTTTCTGAGTGTCACGGTCTATTCATAATGTAGCCGCTTTTCTGTGAATCTCTTTTCACAAACCCCCCTTTTTTGAATGCCTTCTTTGGCTACTGAATGGAAACCAAACATTGGGTGACACGATAATTTAATTAACAACCTCTTAATAACTACCTATAATATATAGGCCCCATGAGATACCCCTGGTACCTTTTTCATAGGTTTTTTTTTCGAGTTTGGGCAAGGACACAGGGGCCCCATGATCCCCTATTGCCCGGGGGCCCCTTGAGTTGTCAGTCCGCCCCTGCCTACATGCTTTTATTACTCTACTACCATGTAAGTGTTCCTACTTTTTATTAAGTGTTCTTGCATGGCAAGACCACTTACTGTTATCTCACATATACATTCTTATTATTATAGCCAAATTTACCACCCTAACTCCTCCCACAGTTTTTACACTACATAGACAGTAATATACCTAAACGTGCGGATTGTTCCCAATTGGTGTGCTGTTACTTTGTGGAACATTTCGCCGAATGGTTCACAAAATATTGGTGTTTTTATGGTGAAATTGGTCCCATAGGAATGAATGGCGGAATGTTCAAAACTAGAGTGGGAGCTGACAAAAGCTAGAGTGTGAGCTGAAAAATCAGGACATGATTTCTAAACTGCCATCACTCCCTCATTTTCAAGCCCACCTACACAAATCTTATATCAAAACGTTCAGCTACCCCTGCTGCCACTAAAAATGTCCATGGCTAAGCCATAGTCCTGATAGTTTTCACAATATGACCATTTGTTTGCAACTCACGCCGCCCATTGACATTCATTGAAACTCCACTCTAGCCACCTCAGATTTAAAGGGCAATCTCTAAACTGCGACTGTGCCTTTAGTTTTAATATTTCAGAGACATACTATGCACCAAAATGTAGGTCTGGGTCTTGTGATTCTCACAATATAAAGCTCTTTGTTGTAGGATTAATAATTTTTAAATTACAAGCGTTTGAAGATGGCAACTGCCAGTGAAGTGAGCAAGTTGGAGCAGTTTGTTTTTTAACCGCTCTTCTCTGCCCTTGCTGTAGACTGTGTTGCCATAGGAACCCAGGTGTGTGAGCAGGCAGCAGATTGGAGGCAAGAACACTTCATACAATTTCTCCAGAAATTGTAGCTTTTCTAGTTATATATTAAAGTGGTCTGCTGCACTTAGAGGCGCTTCTTCTTCTCTCCTTCCTCAGGGCTCTGTGCTATGCCACCCTATGCTATGAGTGCATAGACACTGAGAGCTGAGCAGCGTTCAGGCTAGGTGCACACCTATGCAGTTTGCGGTTTATCCATTTCTGCAGTGCTTTTTGTGGTGCATTTTTGCACATGATTGTTTTACGTGTTTTTGATGCTTTTTGCATTTTGTGTTTTTATGGGGGGGGGGGGGGGTTGCCAACTTGTTTCTAGGCAGATAAAAACACATGAAAAATGCACTACATTTCTGCAGCATCTCCATTGAAGTCCAACCGTTTAGTGTCTGCTACCCCTCTCTGCCAATCCCTCCACTGGTTTCCACTCACTCAACGAATAACATTCAAAATACTAACAACTTACAAAGCCATCCACAACTCTGCCCCCAGCTGCTCTATCAACCAAACTGCTCTCTTCGATCCTCCCAAGACCTTCTGCTCTCTAGTTCCTGTGTCACCTCCTCCCATGCTCACCTCCAGGACTTCTCCTGAGCGTCTCCCATCCTATAGAACTCCCTACCCCAATCTGTCCGGCTGTCTCCTAATATATCCACCTTTAGACGATCCCTGAAAACCTTTCTCTTTAACCAACTCCCGCCCGCCATATAGTCCAATGACGGGCGCAAGGTGGTTCTCTTGTTCTGGGAGGACGTCATATGACGTACTCCCATTCTCACCGCGCATGGCTCAGGGAACGCGCAGTGCGGCGATCGGCGGTGCTCTGTGTCCCTCGGACACAGCGGATCACCAATCTACAGAAAGAGCCAAAGATGTCGGCTCGGTCATGTGATCAGCTGTGTCCAATCACAGCTGATCACATGTAAACAGGGAAATGCCGGTTATCGACAATTCTCTCCTCATGAGCTGTCACGCTGACAGCTTGAGAGGAGAGGAGAGCCGGTAATCAGCATTCCGCAGAGGGGACATGTACACTGATCATCAGGGCACTGATGATCAGTGTGCCCTGATGATCAGTGTGGCCCCAGAAGTGCCACCTGTCAGTGTCCATCAGTGCCAGCTGCCAGTGCTGAACAGTGCCACGTGCCAGTGCCACATCAATGCCACATATCAGTGCCCACCAATGCACATCAATGCCACATATCAGTGCCCATCTGAGCTGCCTTTCAGTGTCACCCATCAGTGCCAGTCAGTGCCACCTATCAATGCCAATCAGTGCCACCTATCAGTGCCAGTCAGTGCCGCCTATCAGTGCCAGTAAGTGCCGCCTATCAGTGTACATCAGTGCCTCCTATCAGTGCCCGTCAGTGCCTCCTATCAGTGCCAGTCAGTGCCGCCTAACAGTGCCAGTCAGTGCCGCCTATCAGTGCCATCTTCGCTGCCTCCCGGCCCTTTAACTGGATCAAAATGCCAAGAGGAGGGTATTCCAATCATGTGACCGATGTGATTGGCTGTCAGTGCTGTCACTTGATTGGAAAGCTCTCGATCGCAAGTATACATTGGGATCTTTGTCACCTATTAGTTGTGCTGGGAGTGTGCAGTGAGTGCCATCTCAGCACAGTAAATTGTACCAATAGATGCATATATGTGGCCACTCTAGTTAGTCTGGCTGAAAAAAGACAAAAGTCCATCCAGTTCAACCATAAAAAAAGAAAAAAAAAGTTATAATCCTACATCCACAGTTGATCCAGAGGAAGGCAAAAAAACCCAGCAAAGCATGATCCAATTTCCTCCTGCAGGGAAAAAAATTCCTTCTTGATCCCCAAGAGGCGATCGGATATTCCCTGGATCAACTTTACCTGTAAATGTTAGTATCCAGTTATATTTTGTGTATCCAAGAAAGAATCCAGGCCTTTTTTAAAACAATCCACGGAGCTGGCCAGAACCAACTCTTGTAGGAGTCTATTCCACATTTTTACAGCTCTTATTGTGAAGAATCCTTTCCATGTTTGGAGATTTAATCTCTCTTCCTCCAGACGTAAAGAGTGCCCCCTTGTCCTCTGTGATGACCTCAGAGTGAATAACTCTACACTGAGTTCACTATATGAACCACTGATGTATTTGTTGATATATCCCCCCTTATGTTTATACATCATATCCCCCCTTATGTATTATACATGTTGATCATATCCCCCTTAATCTCCTCTTCTCAAGAGAGAATACATTCAGTTCCTCTAATCTTTCCTCATCGCTGAGCTCCTCCATGCCTCTTATCAGTTTGGTTGCCCATCTGTGTACTTTCTCCAGTTCCCCAATGTTCTTTTTGTGAATTGGTGCCCAAAACTGAACTGCATATTCCAGATGAGGTTTTACTAATGATTTGTACCGGGGGGTAATATGATATCTCTCTCTCTGGAGTCTATACCTCTTAATACAAGAGAGGATTTTGCTCGTCTTAACGATAAAAGGTAATGTTTTTTTTGTAGAACACTGTTTCAGTATACTGTGAAATCTCTGAAATATATTTCTTCATAATGAAAGGTTCATTTTATATATACACTTGGGGACAGCCATATTTTTCTATTTACATTGCAAGCTGTGCTTCCAGGTTTGTAGTGAAATATGTAAGCGTACAGGTTCTTTCCAAGCCAGGGACCAATGTGAATGGCTCAATCTCTCTTGAAAAGCCTTTAAGTAAAAAACATGTCAGAATATAAAAATGATGACATAAGAGTTGTACCTGCCAGCTGAGATGGGAAAAAAGACATCCTTCTGCCAGAAAACAAAAACACTTGCAGTCCCTGTCATAACTCCTACACGTCATGGTTATGTAACAAGGACAAAAACTGAAAGAATAAGTTTCATTTACAGCAGTTTAATTTTTATGGCTGAATTGGATGGACGTTTGTCTTTTTTCTGGCACACTGTAATATGAAGTGATGAGACCAAAATAGAGCTTTATGGTCACAACCATAAGTGCTATGTTTACAGAGGGGTCAACAAGGACTATAGTGGCAATAATAATATCCCCACTGTGAAGCATGGTGATGGCTCACTAATGTTTTGGGGGGGGGGGGGTGTGAGCTCTAAAGGCATGGGGAATCTTGTTAAAATTGATGGCAAGATGAATGCAGCATGTGATCAGAAAATGCCAGCAGACAATTTGCATTCTTCTGTACAACAGTTGCGCAGGGGACTCTCCAGCATGACAATGACCCTAAGCACAAGGCCAGGTTGACCCTGCAGTAGTTACAGCAGAAAAAGGTGAAGATTCTGGAATGACCATCACAGTCTGCTGACCTTAATATCATTGAGCCATTCTGGCTCACTGAACAACCAAAGACTTTGTTGTCATGTTTTGTTTTATGATTGTGCCTTTCAGCTAAGACCTACAGTTGAATTTGAATCCCATAAGAAATAAAAGAAATGTGTTTTGCCTGCTCACTCGTGTTTTCTTTTAAAAATGGTACATACTGTATATATTCTCCAAGGGTTTGCAAACTTTTGAGCATTGAGCAACTGTATATTTATGGAAACATTAACGTGTGATGCATATTTCTCACCTAAAAAGTCCCACTGCTAATGAATTTGTGAATCCTGATATGTTAAGGGATGAGGTGCCCAAGATTTCCCTTCAAACATTTTAATATTGTTTTGGAAATCTCCCAATGTCAGAGGAATACTTCTCTTAGACAGCCATCCCAAGAACAAGGGTCTCTACTGGATATATTGCCCGTCACCTCTTGTTCTGGAGGCAACTCTAGTGTGCATGGAGCCTTAGTACTAAGCAAAGTCTGGAAGACAGAACACTGATAACACTGTTCAACAGGTAAAAAGTTTTTGGGCATAAAATTAGCTAATCTTACATAATTTTGGGGTGCTGAAAACGAAAATGACCCTAAAAAAATGTTGATTGGCTCTAGTTTCCATGATATATTCACCCATCTAATGACGTAAGCCATTCAAAATTATGATGCAACTTCAGCTGCATATTGCGCAATTGATAATGGTGACCAATAGAAAATTGCATGTATACTGAGATGATGCAATATTAGCCTTTAATTGCATCACTTCACTGCATAAAAGCTGCAGTATCTGTAGCTGATTGTAGTTCGACAGCGTCTTTACATTTCGTTTTATGCTTATATAGGCTACTCAGTAATGCCTCGAACTTGTGTGTGAATAAAGCAGATAATTTCTGCTATATCTGCGGTGAAATAACTTTTATCTCACAAAAAAGGAGGATAACAGGAATGATTAAGAAAGCCTACAACTTGTATTTTGGCTGCAAGATAGGAGACCAGGACAAGAGCTGGGCACCACATATATGCTGCAATTCTTGTGGGACGGCACTGGAGCAATGGTTGAATGGAAAAAAGGCATCTATGCCTTTCGCTGTGCCAATGATTTGGAGAGAGCCAACAGATCATGTTAGTAATTGTTACTTTTGTATGGTGCCTCCAACAAAAGGGCTAAATAAGAAGAAAAAGTTATCTGTGCACTATCCAAATATTCCATCAGCAATACGTCCAGTTCCTCATGGAGAGGGGCTACCAATTCCTAAAGCACCAGAATCCTTCGTGGTTGAGTCAAGTGAGGAAGAACCTGAAGCGTGTAGTCACGTGCAGTTGTAAGAGATAGCCCTTTCCTCGAATACAAGAGAAAAGCCAAGAGAAGCAAAACCGACACAAACTGAAGACAAAACTAGTGAGAATCCTAAGTATTAAAATGATTCAACTTAGCTTATGGCTATAATTTTTCTTGGTAATCCTATGCAATATATTATGCCATTTAGGCTTTGTTATGTAGTCAATATCACTTGCTTTATATTTGTGGAAAGACATCTATCTATATAATTATTGTGCATTATGTAGTCATTACGCCTATAGTAGAAAACTTTCCGTTTACAGAAAAACTAGAGCCAATTGACAAATTTCATTGTTATATTTGAACTCAGAACAAAAAATAAAAATTTGTTGAACAGTGTAACCAGAGACATTTTAATGATCATTCAAAAATAGAGGGAAGGAAAAAGGGGGGAAATAAGGGTGCAAATGGACTTTAAAGGCAGAGAAACTCCAAACACATATTAGTAAAATCATTTGTTCTTTATTATGACAATTAGTCATGAAAAAAACATATTTCAGTTTAAAAGAAATCATTATGTGATGTCCCCGCAGACAATGTCCCGCAACCCACCATATTACATGGAACAAACTAGTGATGAAGCATACAATAACCACCAGAAAGAACTTATGGGGGGATGAGAGACATTAAGCCGCAGGAAGAATGACCCAACATGTTTTGCGACAATGATCACTTCTCCAGGGGCTTAGTAGTAAAATATATACAGTGAGGAACAGAAGTATTTGAACACCCTGCGATTTTACAAGTTCTCCCACTTAGAAATCATGGAGGGGTCTGAAATTCACATTGTAGGTGCATTCCCACTCTGAGAGACAGAATTTAAAAAACAAATTCAGGAAATCACATTGTATGATTTTTAAGGAATTTGTCTTGCACTGCTGAACATAAGTATTTGAACACCTAAGAAACAGCAAGAATTCTGGCACTCAAACAACTGTTACTGTGCCTTTAAAAAGTCCACCTCTACTCCACTCATTAATCTAACTTAGTAGCACCTGTCTGAGCTCTTTAAAGACACCTGTCCACCCCACAGTCAGTCAGATGCCAACTACTACCATGGGCAAGACTAAAGAGCTGTCAAAAGACACCAGAGACAAAATTGTGGACCTCCACAAGGCTGGAAAGGGCTACGGGGCAATTGCCAAGCAGCTTGGTGAAAATAGATCAACTGTTGGAGCAATTGTTAGAAAATGGAAGAGGCTAAAGACGACTGTCAGTCTCCCTCGGACTGGGGCTCCATGCAAAATCTCACCTCGTGGGGTATCACTGATGATAAGAAAGGTGAGGAATAAGCCCAGAACTACAAGGGAGGAGCTGGTCAAGGACATGCAGAGAGCTGGGACCACAGTTTCAAAGGTCACTGTCAGTAGAACACTACACCGTCATGGTTTCAAATCATGCATTGTACGGAAGGTTCCCCTGCTCAAGTCATCACATGTCCAGGCCCATCTGAAGTCTGCCAATGACCATCTGGATGATCCAGAGGAGGCATGGGAGAAAGTCATGAGGTCAGATGAGACCAAAGAAGAACTTTTTGGTCTAAACTCGTCGTGTTTGGAGGAAAAAGAAGGATGAGTTGCATCCCAAGAACACCATCCCTACTGTGAAGCATGGGGGTGGTAACATCATGCTTTGGGGGTGCTT